GGGGGGGGGGGGGGGGGGGGGATGGTACGCAACCAACACTTTTTATAGCGGAGGTGGTGTGCTGCTGACCTCAACTCAGGATGTCCTGGGCAAGACACTGAACCCCTCATAGCCTCTGATGTGTGTCCCATTGGTGTATGAATGTGATCTAAAGCACTGATTAGTCTCATTAGAATGATTTGTTCAATTAGCTTAGTAGAGATCTAGTAGAGTGCTGTATGAATCGGTAAATGAATGCACATATTTTAGCGTAAAGCGCTTTGAGTATCTTAAAATAAGATAGAAAGGCGCTATACAAGTACAGTCCATTTACATGTGCTTTGTAGACTTGGAGAAGGCGTTCAACCGTGTCCCTCGGGGAGTATTCCGGGAATATGGGGTACCAGGCCCTTTAATGCGGGCTGTTAGGTCCCTGTACAACCGGTGTCAAAGCTTGGTCATTATTGCTGGCAATAAGTCGGGCTCATTCCCAGTGAGAGTTGGACTCCGCCAAGGTTGCCCTTTGTCACCGATTCTGTTCATAACTTTTATGGACAGAATTTCTAGGCGCAGCCAAGGTGTTGAGGGGATCCGTTTTGGTGACCTTAGGATCGCTTCTCTGTTTTTTGCAGATGATGTGGTCCTATTGGTTTCAGCAAGTCGTGATCTACAACTTTTGCTGGAGCGGTTTGCAACAGAGTGTGACGCGGCCGGGATGAGGATCAGTTCCTCCAAATCCAAGGCCATTGTCTTGAGCCGAAAAAGGGTAGCGTGCCTTCTCCAGGTCGGAGGTCCTGCCCCAAGTGGAGGAGTTCAAGTATCTCGGGGTCTTGTTCACGAATGAGTGAAAAATGGAGCGTGAGATCGATAGGTGGACAGGTGCACCATCGGCAGTGAAGCGGGTGCTGTACCGGCCTGTTGTGGTGAAGAGAGAGCTGAGTCAAAAGGCAAAGCTCTCAATTTACCAGTCGATTTACGTTCCTACCCTCATCTATGGTCATGAGCTTTGGGCTGTGACTGAAAGAACGAGATCTTGCATACAAGCGTCCGAAATGAGTTTTCTCCGCAGGTTGTCTGGGCTCTCCCTTAGAGATAGGGTGAGAAGCTCCGTCATCCGGGAGGGACTCAGAGTAGAGCCACTACTTCTCCACACCGAGAGGAGCCAGTTAAGGTGGCTCTGGCATCTGGATAGGATGCCTCCTGGACGCCTCCCTGGTGAGGTGTTTCGGGCACGTCCCACCGGGAGGAGACCCAGAGGAAGACCCAGGACACACTGGAGGGACTATGTTTCTCGGCTGGCCTGGGAATGCCTTGGGATTCCCCTGGAGGAGCTGACCAAAGTGGCTGGGGAGAGGGAAGTCTGGGCCTCCCTACTTAGGCTGCTACTCCCACGACCCAACCCCGGTTAAGCAGAGAAGAATGGATGGATGGATCCATAAGTATGAAGGTCCTGACATTTCATTGTTACCTAAGGGTAAATATCCTCTAAACTGTGGCTCATATAGACCTTTTAAATACTAATGCAAAAATCCTTGCCAAGGTCCTGGCAAGATTACTTGAACAGATGGTTCCCACAACTGTCCCATCTGATCAGACAAGATTTGTAAAAAAAATATTAAAGCTTTATTCCACATTAGTCAGTTGCTGTGTTTTATACGGTGTAGAGGCAGGGCAGCCGGCTTGGGACCCAAAAGTCCCAGGTTCGATCCCCAGTCACTGCATATCATGTGGTGTCTCTTGGCAGCACACCTCATCCCCAAAATGCCCCCCCCCGGGTGCTTTCAATAGCTGCCCACTGCACCACCTGGTGGTGGATGGGTTAAATGCAGAGACTAATTTCGCCATTGTATGGAAACATACAGTGCTGACATTATTATTATTATTATTATTATTATTATTATTATTATCATTATCATTATTATTATAATACACTCCCATTCAACCTGGTCACAACTGTGACGAAATCTTACTCTTGCTGGATGCAGAAAAAGTGTTTGGGTGGAGTGGGGTTATCTCTTGACTTTAGAAACATTTAAATTTGGTCTTAAAATTCATATCATGGGTGAAGTTGATACCTCCCCAATGGCAGCAGTATGCACTAACGATAACATATCCAACTGTTTGAACTGCAACGCATTATGAGGCAGGGGTGCCCACGCCCACCACTTCTATTGGCATTAGCAATAGAACCATTAGCTGTCATTTTACAACAAAACTCCAGTATTAAAAAAAATATATATAGTTTTTTAAAGTATAAAATCGATTAGGCACAGAGCATAAAGTTTCTTTTTATGCCAATGACATGCCTTTGTATAGATCAGATCCTCTCACTAGCATTCCTGAGTTACTTACTTGGCTTAAAAAATATATAATTGTGAGAATAACTGGCTATAAGTATTCTGATGCATACTCAGTAATCCAAGAAGGAAAATCTAAAAAAAAAATTAAAAAAAAACTAAGACAACAACAACAAAGTCAGGTTCTCTGGATGGATTCTTCTTGTTGAAATGTTTAGTTTTTGATCCATAAGATATGTTACAATAAACTCAGTCTTATAAATAGCACCTTCTCACAGTGAATCGACCAGTTGGCTGCTGTCAGCCCAAACTAGTTGTTCACATGATAAAAGGGAGGATCATCAACCTAACAACGGATTGTTGGTACCCTGATGGCTACTTGCTATTTACAGAGGTTTGAGTGATACTAGCAATAACAGCATTGTAAGAGGGGGACAATTGGACACGAAGGCCTCGACCCCTGTTTAATGATGGACTGGTTC